CCCTGGACGAACCGCCGCTGTTTGTGACCTTGGAGCGGGATTTCTCCTTGGAACGTTTCGTCTCCACGCCGTCCGCTGTGATTGGTGTGCATGAGTAGATTGGTCGAAAAGATTCGAAGAAACCGCAGTCCTCGAAATAATTGGGGAACAACCAAAACCCGTATTTTCCCAGGGTGCAGATCCAACAGACCAGATAGAGGACAAGACGAATCAGAGCGACCGCGATTAACAGACCGAACACGGCCGAGGCGAGCAGGGTCAAGTAGTAGGCCCCGGAACGCAATTCGGCCGGCCAGATCGGGAACAGGCAGCAAAGTATGATCCCGAGCAGAAGCGCACTACCGGCTAACCAATTGAACAGACCGGGCGGGGGTTCGTAGATCCACACGTATACTGTCTGCGGATCGTCAAGCACAAACAGCTGCTCCTCACTGATCTCAATTTTCATCGGTTTTGTTGAAGAGGATGACGATGATGATGACGACGAACTGGTTTTTGTACCAGTCTCTTTAGATGATACGTGATTAGATGTTGCTGACTTGTTCGATTCATCTCCGGCCGACTGAGGGCTAGAACGAGTTAGCTTGTCAACGGAGCCCCCGATAGATGATAGCTCATCGCCTTCGGTCTGAGACAAATGCAGAGCGGTAAGAAACGGAATGGTCACAGGATCTCTTACTCTCGTTCTATTGTGGTGTAATGAGCGTAAACCTAAAGGAGATCATGTATATGTGACTGGGCTACTGTGAGGGATTCTCTAAAAATTTATTTCAAAGACACGTTTCAGTGAGGCAAAAAAACTTTGAAACACTGGGTCCCTTTTGTCAGTCGCATCAAAACCGAAAGACGCACGTCGTGCGATGTTAACATTACGTTGAATCTTCTCTGTCGCTGACGTAAAACAAACAGGGATATTTATAGCACATTGGATTTATGAATCCTAGTGAAGGAATATGTACAACCGATAGACAGGGGTTATTCCAATTAAAAACAAGAGGTTAACTCCCTCCACGGCAGGTGAACTGATTACGTTAACAACTTCTGGGGGAACAGAACAGGCTGATGTAATCGCATTAGTAGTGCCTCCATCGTTGCCAACAGTTTTGCATTGCAATTACGTGACGTAATCAGCTCACTTGCCGTGTAGTTGACCTCTTGTTTTTAATTCTAAAAGCCCCTGTCTATCGGTTGTGCATAACCCTTCTCTAGGATTCACAAATCCAAAGTGCTATAAATGCCCCTGTTTGTTTTACGTCAGTGACAGAGAAGATTCAACGAAATGTTAACATCGCGCGACGTGCCTCTTCTTTCGGTCCTGATGAGAGGCAAAAAATATCAAATTGACTGGTATGGTGCAGTATACTGATTGGCATGAGTGCCGAATACATGGGGCGGACGCCATTCAGACATTCGGCTGTCTGTGACGCATCGACTGTAAGCTGCCGTAGTTGGGGCACTAGTCCTACTCTACGGCGCAGAGACCTGGTCATTACGAACACAAGATGAGGATAGACTATCGGGGGTCGAACACCACTGTCTACGCTGCATGGCACTGGTTTGGTGGGCGAACTGGACAAGCACTACTGAGGTTAAGCGTAGAGCTTTAGGTAACCGCGAACGCACACTGCCGCATGTGGTCCACTTATATGGAATAAGTTTATCGGGACTTCTTGCGCATTTCAAGATCGCCACTAGATGCGCCGTTTGCCAAGGCAAGTGGCGGGAACAAAAAAGCCAACAGCAATCAAATTAAGACCTGATATGAGGGTAGGAAAATACTGACCAGGAGACTTGCTCATATAGGTCGAATAAGGCTTCTCGGATGAGGAAATAGGGATCAATGCAATGGTTAGAGACACTGAGTGATATGGCTGAGTGGCGCAAACAGTGGCGTTTGTGCATCTACTCAATGCCCTTGCAACCTTAGTCCACTGAAATTCTCCATTTTTACTCTGACAGTGATTGAAACAATCCAATATTCCTATTACTGCTTCATCCAATCCAATCCAATAGCACACTGATTCACGATCAGTAACGCCGTCTTGACCGTTGGGCTGAACACTTCAAGACTCAGTTCAACTGGTCCCCATCGACATCTTATCTTTCGCTCTCCGCCTCGAGTGGGCAATTACTCCCAGTTGATGCTAGTCCTCCATCTGAAATGGAGGTTTCTCGGGAAATAAGTTATCTCAAAAGGCATAAGGTCTCTGGCCCAGATGGGTTGTTCCCATCAGCGTTTAAGGATGGAGGCTCAGCGGTAGTCTTGGAGTTGAAAAAAACTCCTGAGTTCAATATGGGAAAGAGAAGAGGTTCCAGCTGAATGGTGTGAGTCGGTGATCATACCGAATCTACGACAAAGGTGATAGATCCTCTTGTGGAAACCATAGAGGAATTAGTTTAATCAACATCGTCTCTAAGCTTCTCGCTGGCATCATACTCCACCGATTGTCAGCCGCGCGTGAACGGAGCACGGGTGAGAACCAGGCTGGTTTTAGACCCGGTCGAGGTTGTAGCGACCACATCTTCACTCTGCGGCATCGACATTCTTTTCGTAGACCCACCATCTCTGTCCTCCTAGATCTGAAAGTGCCTTGCGACTCAGTCAACCGCTGTAGACTCTGGCGCTGCCTTTTTCCGAAAGGTGTGCCCAAGAAGTTAATTTCAATATTATGATCGCTTTATACCAATAGCCGAAGTCGAGTCCGAGCCGGTGGCACTTTTTCGCCCGAGTTCACCACGGAAAGTGGTGTTCGTCAGGGTTACCCTCTCTCCATTTCTATTTAACTTTGTTATAGATCTGATTATGGAAACAACCTTATCCTCGCGCGAAGATATCGATATCGATCTACTCCCAAGTGGCAGAATGTCTGACCTAGAGTATGCAGATGACATTGTGCTACTAAGTGAAGATTCAAGTAAGTTGCAAACATTTCTGGATAAGTTGAATGCCAGTATAGCCACATTCGGTATGCGTTTTGCACCTTCAAAGTGTAAAATGTTGCTACAAGACTGAGTTGGTCCAGCACCCACCCTCACTCTAACTGGGGAAGTAATAGAGCAGGTGGATAAGTTTTTTTTATTTGGGCAGCTACATCTCACCCGGTGCAGGCATCACGGATGAAGTGTCAGCTCGCATACAGAAGGCTCGGTTGGTATTTGCCGACTTGAAACATCTGTGGCGCCGTAGCAACATCCGGTTGTCTGTGAAGGGTCGAGTATATGCCGCGACAGTTCGGCCAGTCCTGCTATACGGTGCAGAAACTTGGCCATTNTAGAGACAGACTGTCGGTGTTTGAACACCGCTGTCTACGCAGTATTGCACGAATCTGGTGGGGTAGCCGGATGAGCAATGCTGAGGTGAGGCTTAGAGTTTTGGGTATCCGCGGTCGCCCACTGGACCAAGTGGTCGACCTCCATAGATTACGTTGGTTGGGACATGTGTTACGCATGTCACCAGGTAGTCGACCTCCATAGATTACGTTGGTTGGGACATGTGTTACGCATGTCACCAGGTAGGTTACCTCGACGAGCGATGTTCGCCGAAGCAGATATCGAGTGGAAAAAAGCCAAGGGTGG